GCGCTCCATCTGAGCCTGTGTCACCGCTCGGCCACACGTGATGTTGCCTGGCCCCTCCTTGCCACCCACCTTCTTCCTCTCTGCCAGGAGAAAGATCAGGTGGACTTAGCACTTACCCACCGCGCTTGGGGAGGGCGGTGGGGACGGGGCAAAAGCACCTTGGGTGTTTTTTTGTTTTTTTTAATTTTTTTATTTTTGTGTGTTTGTGGCCAGCTCGGCCCACCTGGGGGTGGGGCCGGCTGGCACGTGGTGCTGGGGGATTGAACCGCGGTCCCTGTGCTTTGCTAAGCTTGTTCTAAGTAGGTACTTTAGACCACTGAGCCATCTCACCAGCGCCTGGGTGTTTAAATAAATAAAACAATCACAAGCTGGATGTGGTGACACACACCTCAGGAGGCTGAGGCAGGAGGATCACTGTGAGTCCAAGACCAGCCTGGGCTACAAAGTGAGCTCAAGGCCAGCCTGAACTGCATAGCAAAATGCTATCTCAAAAAAACCAAAAATAAGAAAAAAGAAAACCAAGACAAACAAATCCAGTAAACATTCACCATATTTTTGGACCACTCTTCAGAAGCCATACAATCACACTGCATAAGCCACCCTGTCTAATTCTGTGAGGTAGAAACTATTATCAGCCCCATTTCATAGATAGGAAAACTGAGGCTCAAAGAGGTTAGAGAAGTTTCTCAAAGTCATGCAGCTCAGGTAGGTATGTACCAGAGGCAGGATCTGAACCCAGGGTTTCTAGCTCTAGAGTCCTATTTATTATTTATGTTTGATTCCAAGAAGGCTTGGGCCACTTGGCTCCAGAACTCCCTGGGCCTGGCTGCATAGTGGCACCCAGGCCCACCCTGTACTGACCTGGTCGTCAGACACCTGCTGCATGTGGAGGTGGGTCCCGTTGAGGATGTTCATCCGCGTGTACCCATACTCCTTAACACGCACGGCACTCCAGGGCCTCGGCCTGATGACGAAGGGTGTCAGACGCTCCTCACAGCCCTGCAGAGAGACTTGGTCAGAGCAGGTACTGGAGCAGGTAGAGACTCAGAGTACATAGAAATCACCTCTCCGCCCAGGCCCCTGCTGCCCCCAGAAAGGCATTGAGCTGGGTGTGGTGGCACATGCCTGTAACCCTCATGCTCTGGGAGGCTGAGGCAGGAGGATCACAGCCTGGGTAATTTAGCAAGAGCCTATTTCACTCAACCTAAGAAATGAAAATGGTTGAGAAGGTAGCTCGGTGGGAAGGTCCTAGATTTATTCCCCAGTCCTGGAAAAGAAAAAAAGACAAATTGGATAAGAGTGGCCACAGTAGTAGTTCCCAGCTGAGCTTGCAGAGTTCTAGAACAGTGCAGGGCTGTGCAAGGCTGTCTGCTACAGCGCTTTCAGCAGAAGCCCTGACCTGGAGGCCTCCCGAACACCCTCCGAGGGAGTCAGGTGCATAAGCTATGGCAGAGCCATCACGAAGCAGGGTGAGTCACAAAGGCGGCCAACACAGAGTCTGAAGGGGGAAAGATGACTATGAAGAACAGAATCATTCCGTCTCATTTCTAGCTGCATGGTAGCTAAACCAAGAAAGATTTTTAAGCCAGGTATGGTAGCACAGGCCTATATAGAATTCTAGAATTCTGGGAGGCTGAGGCAGGGGGCTTACAGGTTTGAGCCTAGTCTGGGTAACTTAGTGATTAAGGGAGACCCTGTCTCAAAATAAAAATAAAAAGTAGACTGAGGATGCAGCTCAGTGAGAGAGGCCTGGATTTAGTCCTGAGTACAGTGGGTGGGAGATCACCACTTTTCACCCAATTTTGTAACATTGCCAAGGGTTTCACCCATGAGCAGGGACAGTAGTGGGGACAATTTCAGAAATAACAGGATGTTTGCAGTTTCAAGGTGTGTCTCCAGGAGTCTCTTGTTAGTTACTTGCTAATTACAAAGGAAAAAAGAGTAAGGCCTTGCTGCCTTAACCGAGTGATCCAGCTCCACACTGTCAAGTATTGAGCCAGATCCACCCCAGACTTGGATCTGGGAAATAAGAAACTTGTGCAAGGGGCTGGGGAGATAGCTTGGCGGTCTAAGTGCCTGCCTGGCAAGCGCAACATCCAGAGTTCAATTCCCAGTACCGCATGCCACGCAAACCCTGGAACCCAGAGAGTGCTGTGCCAGCCACGGAAACTGGGCATGGTGGTACACACCTGTAATCCCAGTACTGGGGAGGCTGAGACAGGAGGATCACTACATGTTTGAGCTGGGTAGTGAGACCCTGTGCCAAATAAATAAATAATCAAGAGGCATCCGAAGGCTCCTGGGTGGACACACCCTGAGGACTGGGTCTGTGGTTTACAACCGGAAACAAATGACTTGTATCCACTCACAAACAAACATTAGACAAACCCAGACTGAGTGTGTGTGTGTGTGTCTGTGGGTGTTCTATAAAATGACTTGGAAGGAACTCTTCAAACTTGTCAAGGTCATGAAAAACAGAACGAGTGAGCGAGGAATTGCTTCTGATTAAAGAAAGCAGCAGAGATAAAACACCTAAATACAACAAGCAATCATGGACAAGTTCCTGGGCTGGGAGGGGACCTTTGCTTTGATTTAAAGCACACTAATGCAGATGCTAGCTAATTTGAATGAGGTCTGTAGATTAGATAACAGGGTATTATCAGTGTTAACTACTTGAATTTGATCATTATTCTGCACATAAAGGACATTATGTTTACAATTTATTCTTGATTGGATCTGAAAATATGAATAAAATAGAGATGGAAAGAGATGAAGATGACTGTGTTTTAAATGTTCAAATTTGGGAAATCTCAGTGAAGGGCACAAGGAACATCTTTGCAGCTTTTCTGTAAGTTTGAGATAAGTTCAAAATTTGAAATGAAAGAAAAACCCGATCCACGCTTGAGTAAGGCAGGGAGAGCCATCAGCTCCGAGCCGGGAGGGAGGCCGAGGAGCCACCGTGCACTTAGCCTCGTTGCTGTTCTGAGTGGTGGTCACGCAGGCTGGTGTAACACCAGCGTCCTGCCCTCAGAGACCGTGGGGTCTGGTTCAGGATGGGACCCAACTTGGAGTTTTTAAAGCTCCCAGGTTGGCTGGGTGTGGTAGCACATGCCCATAACCCCAGCACCTGGGAGGCTGAGGCAGGAGGATCACTGTGAGTTTGAGGGCAGCCTGGACTACATAGCAAAACCCTGCCTCAAAATGACATAACTAAGTGCATAATGACAGCTCGCAGGGGAGCCTCTCTCGAGCTCAGAGGGACAGAACCCCTGGAGTGTGAAGCCTGAAAAGTGGGTGATCCCCTAGCACCTCTTAGTCTAGACAACTGCTCATTTGTATGCAGAGAAAACACCTGAAGCACCAGCCAAGAGACCCTGGCGGGGGAGGGCTGAGAAGGGGTGACCTCTCACCTCCTGCCCTCCAACTGTTTGAACTTTGAGCGGAAGTGAGAGGAAGCCAAATCCAGGACCGAGGTCAGGAGGCCTTCAGTGTCCCAGGTCATTGGTGCAGTGAGGGAGGACAGGAAGGGACAACAAGGGGACAGGAGCCTGTGGAAAGCTCCCTGCAGTCAGAGCTGGAGCAATTTCAGCATCCAGAGAACTAACAAGAGGGTGGGAACATGGCCCACGGACGGGGGGGTGCAAGTTACTAGTGAACCCATAAACAGTGCACTAACCTCCTTATGGGAGGATCCTAATTAATAAATGGGGTGGGGGTGGGGGCGGGGATAGAGTTCAGTGGCACAGCAAGTGCCTGGCAAGCACCAGGTACTGAGTGTGCAAATAAATAAAACTGGGAAGAATGAACAAAAAAAAATTTAAAATCCCTCATTGCACTTTTGGGTGGTCCGAAAGCATTTTCCCCAAGACCACCCCCCTACTGAGGATGGAACCTAAACTTCCCATCGGGCTGCTACCTCCATCCCAATCACGGTGCCCAGCTCCCCCGTTTAAAGTGTTTTTTTATTTTTCATTTTGAGACAGTGCCCTACTACGTTGCAAAGGCTGGTCTTGAACTTGCCATCCTTCTGCCTCAGCTTCCTGTATAGCTGGGATGATAGGAGGGCACCACTGTGCCGGGCTCCATGGAGATATGTAATGAAAAAGGAGCTCTAGGGTCTTTTCAGTGACTTTGCGTAAACACTGACCCCTGCTGGAACCTCCGTACCCCACCCTGTCGGGTGGCCACACGACCAGCAGTAGCAGCTTTGGGCTGAGAGGTAGGAGGTGTCCATTGCACTAAGGTACCCACGACAAGGTCTGCCTCAGGGGCCAGAGGGGAGGAGCACAAGTGTCCCTCCCTGCCCGCCCTGCTCACCGCAGATCCCGTGATGATGTGGACAGGGCCTCGAGGGTGAGTGTAGGGCTGCTGGCGGCTCCCATTAAATACCTGGAGCAGGACACAAAGGGGTGAGCAAGTCTCACAAGGCCACTCTGATATCAGCCCCCAGGGTCCCACCCTCCACGCGCCTCACCTGATAGTTGTAAATGGGCCACAGCCGCTCATACGAGTGTTCATGAGCCCACAGCTGCAGGTCCACCCCTGCGACACAGAAAGTGGGGGTCAGGCCCCAAATGGAGAGTGATGGAGGCAGAGCCCTGGGCCAGAGGGTCCCTGGGTCACTCACCGTGCTTGTAGAAAAGATCCTCCAGCCCATACTTGCCCCCAAGGCCTCTGCGGACCTGGTGAGAGGAGGCAGGAGGTGAGGGGTGACTCGGGCCTACCCCCCAGGCTCCCTCCCAGCACCCCCAGAGTAGGGGGGCTCACCTTGCTCTCGTACTTTGTGCAGTCATCTAGGTCGGCGTTGGAACAGTACATGGGCCGGTGACCCATGGTGATGATCCACGGCCGCGCTGCCCGGTTCTGATTGGCTTTCTAGACAGAAAGGTCTGGAATGGGTGCTGTGGAGGGGAACGGGGGTGTGGGGCAGACTGGGACCCCTCACCCAACCCACCTGGAGGTCCCTTTCCAGCCAGCGAAACTGTTTCTGAACCAGGTGACGGCCGTAACGGAGAAAGAAGTAGACCTCGGTGGAGAAGGAGATGATGTGGGCTGGACCCAGATCCCAGCTGGAGGGGTCAGAAGGGGGCAGGGGTAAGGGACAGTCTCCTCTGCATCCCCTGTCCTCAAGGAGCAAGGCTGGTACCCCCAGATTACCTGTACCACAGGCCCTCATTGTCCCCCGGCATGCTGAAGCGAGCCTTGTAGTTAGAGAAGTTGCTGGAAAAGGGAGAGGAGAGCGGGCTGGAGGTCTACGCGCCGAAGCTCTGGCTCTCCCCACTGGGCCCCGGCGCCCAGGCCACCACCCCTTGCTTCTCCTCCTGCTGCCACCCAGTGACACGGCAGCAGGAGAGACCAAGGGGAGGTGCTGCGAGGGACGCAGCGTCGGTGGGGATCTGGCCCCTGCCCGCCCGCAGCCCTCGTCCTCACTAGCGTTGCTCGTGATTCCCAGGGCACGTCATGTAGGGCAGGTTGGCGGCCACGGGCTCGATGAGCTTCATGAACCTGTCCCCGACGCGGGCATTGTCCTCGTCCATGTTGTAGGCGAAGTCTCCTGGGGGACAGAGAGAGAGAATGAGGCCCGGACACAGGTCTGCTTCTACCAGCACCGAGGAACCTGGGGCTCCGGGGCGGCTCACAGGTGGGCAGAGCCGTGGGCTTCCCCCAATCCCTACCTCACGCTATCCACCATTGCTTGGCCTCTACCATCACCTATATCTTCAAAGTGGCCCTGGAGGAGGCCATTATATTATCTCCATCCCAGAGGGAGAAACTGAGGTCTGCGGCCACAGAGCTGGTGAGCGAAGACCCAGGAATCGAACTCAGAGAGCCGGATTCCACCCACAGGTCATGATTCCTCTTCATCTCCTGCAGCCTGTTCTTTAACCCTTCCAGTAACAGTGGCAACCATAACAGTAGTAACTAATGCACACGCAGAACACCTCAGGTCATGTCAACCTATCCAGGCACCACCACAGCCCTGTGAATGCTAACTGCCTTACCTCTATCAACAGCAAGGTAGGACTGCACAGGGGCAGCCAGTGCCCACAGCTACAGGGCTGCACTAGGCTTTGTTTTTTTTTTTTTTTTTTTTAATATTTATTTATTTATTTAGTGTGTGTGTGGCCAGCTCAGCCTACCAGGGGGCGGGACTGGCTGGCATGTGGTGCTGGGGGATTGAACCGCAGTCCCTGTGCTTTGCTTAGTTTAGCTTGTTCTAAGTAGGTGCTTTAGACCACTGAGCCATCCCACCAGCCCCAAGGCTTTGGTTTTTGGTGCTGAGGATAGAACTCAGGGTCTTCTCACTGAGCTACATCCCAGGCCCTTTTTATATTTTTATCTAGACAGGTTTTTTCTACATCAGGAAGTTACCCAGGCTGGGCTCAACCTTGCAACACTCCTGCCTCAGCCTCCCAGAGTGCTGAGGTGACAGGACTACAGCACCGCTCCGGCGTGGGAGCCAGAATTTCCTCCACCCGGCTGGGAAACTGGAGAGCCCATCTCTGGTCCTGTCCTGGCTCAGAGCCCCTCGCACCCTGCACACGGAGCCGATGCCTCACCCACATGGAGAATGGCATCATACATGCCCTGCTGAGTGTCCCTGCGAAGGCGTGGGAGGGCCTTCGCGTTGTCAGCCCCCATGTCCCCAAACACAGCCAGCCGGGGGCTCCAATGAACCCCATTCTTCAAGGCCCTGAAGCGGAACCGACGGCTCCAGCCCTGGGCACTACCGCACCTGTAAACTGAGGAAGAAGAGAGGCCACCGTAGAGGAGGGCTGAAGGCACCAAGACCCCCTGGCTGCGGCCCCCGTGCCTTCCCTTCCCTTGGTGGGGAGACCCCAGCACGTTCCCCTCCCCCATGTTCAGGGCGAGAGAGGCCAGACCCTGGGAGCCCCCAGCCTGTGCTCACCATACTGGACCCCGGGTAGCAGTTTGCGCAGAGTCACCCGATGGATGTAGAACTTGCGCCGTAGGACACCCCCATCCACAAAGGTAGTTAAGGTGCCCTGTGCCCGGAGGGGCATCGGCCCCGACAGTTGCATCCCGAACTGCACTTCCGAGCGGGCAGGGACCCATGTAGTCCAGGTCACAGTCATAGAGCCGGGCTCACCTGGGAGGAAGGAGACAGGAAGGGGCTGGGCAGGAGGCCAGGGAGAGTGATGGTTCTTGGGCACTTAGTAGTTAAGGATGCAAGTTCAGGAGCTGCCCAAATTTAATCCCAGCAGCTCCATTTCCAAGCTGTGCTTTCTTAGTTACTTGACCTCCCATTCCTTGGTTTTCCCATCTATAAAATGGGATAGTAATACCATCTAATCTAGAAGGTAGTTATGGATTTAAGTGAGTGTATAATTAGTCCTTTATATCTTTTGGTTCCACATCCTTGTGGACCAAAAGTATTCAGAAAAATAATAGTATTGATAATGAATGAACAGACTTTTTCTTGTCTTTGGTCTCTAAAAAAGTACAGTATAAACCAAAGGTAGTGGCACAGGCCAGTGATCCCAGCATTCTGGGAGGGTGAGGTAGGAAGATTCCAAATTTGAGCCCAGTCTGGGCAATGTAATGACTTAGTGAGACCTAGTCTCCCCACCCCGCCCCCCATTTTATATATTTGGTACAGGGTTTCACTACGCAGCTCAGACTCGTAGGGATCCTCCTGTTTTCAGCCTCCCTAGCACCGGGATTACCGGAGTGAGCCACCACGCCTGGACTCGGTTGCCGGCTCATCATGCCCCTGGGAGAGGGCCAGTGTGACATGTGAGACCAGAGATCGAACCCTGGTCCCTGTGCTTGCCAAAACAGGTGCTTAGTCTGCTGAGCTATTTCACAGGCCCAAGATCTAGTTGCATAATGAATGATTTAAGACAAGTTTGAGATCCACTAAAACTAATTGTTGTATGTTTGTCCTTCTGGTGGTTGTGAAAGCTTCATATTTTCTTTGGACATCATTAGACGTCTTAGCTCATGAAGAACAACTTTAATATTATACGAATTTTGCCATTTTGCTAACACTGGTATGCTGTGTGTATCCACCATTCCACTGGAATTATTTATTCCATTCATATTAATTTTTGTTACAAATCTAACTGATGGAGGAGCTTCTGGGTTCTTAGGTCCACATTCTACTTTCAGGCTATATATTCTGTTTTCATAATTTGTCCTTGGTGGCCCAATGATCATGCCTGTCCACCTCATAAATGACATGTCTTCATCATCTTCAAGGCCCCGCTAATTGTACCATCGCCTACTCCTTTTTGTCCTTCTTCAAGTTCTTCCAACAAGCGAAAATTACGAGGAACTTTAACTCCTGTGGAGGCTGCCATCTTCTCCTACATCCCGACGCAGCCGCCTAGTCTCATAATGATTGAAAAAGAGCGGAGATGTAGCTCCTTCTGAGTGCCCTGGGTTCAGTCTCCACAATCACAGCAACACAAAACAGAAGTACAACAACTGCTTGCACACCACTTGCATTGTACTGGATATCATAGGTAATCTAGAGGCCGTTAAATGACACAGGAGGATGTGCGTGGGTCATAGGCTGATCCTGTGCCATTTCATACATGGGACTTGGGCGTGTGAAGGCTTTGGTACCCTTGCAGGGCCCCAAAAGGAATTCCCAGTGGAAATGCAGCACCGCCTGTAAGTGAAGCATGGTGCCTGCCACAGCTGAGTCACGCCAGTGAGCAAATGCCACCATCCACGTTCTCGATGTGCGCAAGCTTGTGCCCACACTGCATACATGTGATGTCATTCGACGGAGGCCAGTGCAGACGCCTGGAAGCCTGCCAGGTACTATCAGCAGGGACAAAGGTGGCAAGACATCTGGACCTTGTGGAGCCCAACTGTGTAAAAGGCACAGTCACATTTCAACTCTGGTGACAGGCCCCAGGCAGGAAGCTGGCCCCGTGCCCCCATGCCTATGGACTTCCAGGGTAAATCTTCACACAGTGGTTTCTTTACATCTCAGGAGCACCTACACTGTAGATAGATAAGCAACTCCAGAGTTTTAAGTGATAGCTTCACATTCTTATTGTGAGCGATCAAGGCTTTAAAAGATACCCCACTGGGCCAGTGAGATCGCTCACCAGACTAAGTGCCTTTTTAGGCAAGTTCAGTGACCAGGGTTTGATCCCCAGCACCACATGCTGAACTGGCCCTGCCCCCAGGCGTGCTAAACCAGCCACCAAGACCAGGCGTGGTGCTGTACTCCTGTAATCCCAGCACTGGGGAGGCTGAAAATGGGAGGATTGCTATGAGTCTGAGCTGCATAGTGAGACCCTGTACCAAATACATTAAAAGAAAAGAAAGAGATAGCACAGGTGGTGGTGCATGCCTGTCTTCCCAGCACCCTGGGAGGCAAAGGCAGGAGAATCCCAAGCTGGAGCACGGACTGGGCAATAAAAAGTAAAAACAGGATGGAGGGGTGTGTGGGTGGAGGGGGACAGGACTGGGGATGCAGCTCAGGTCGAAGGCCCTGGGTTTAATCCTCAGTACCAGGAACAAATCTACATGATGTAGCGTAATGTTGAGGGCAGGCACTTTCTCCAGCAACAAGAAAATGCACATGCACAAAGATATTCACGGCAGCACTGATTGTAATTGCAAAATTCTGGAAACAACCTAAATGCTCAAATATAGCAATGTGAGAGAATATCATCCACGCAATGGTGTAAAAATGAACCGAGAGGAGTCTAGGAATTGCTACACTGATTTCCAGGATATATTGCTAAATTAAAAGAAAATAAAGTTCCTGGACTTGGTGGCTCACACCTATAATCCCAGCCCTCTGGGAGGCTGAGGCAGGAGGATCGCAAATTCAAGCCTCGCCTGGGAAAATTAGCAAAATCCTGTCTTCAAATTTTAAAAAATGGTTAGGGATGTAGCTCAGTATTGCCTAACATGCAAAAGCCCCCAGGTTCTGCCCTCAACGTTGTTGGGGGGGGGCGGTGTGGCAAAGTGCTGTCCTTATTGTAAGGAAATAAAGGAAAATATGCATCCCGGGCATGCTGAGCCAGCCACCAAGACAGGCATGGTGCTGTACTCCTGTAACCCAGCACTGGGGAGGCTGCAAACAGGAGGATCACTATGAGTCTGAGCTGCATAGTGAGACCCTCTAAGAAATACATTAAAAGAAAAGAAAAAGCACAGGTTGGCAGATGTGGTGGTGCATGCCTGACTTCCCAGCAACCTGGGAGGCAAAGGCAGGAGAATCCCAAGCTGGAGCTCCAGAGAAAAATCTCCATGTAATTCAGAGTCTCAGAATTATAATCATGTTTGAATTTCCTTATACACTCAACAAAGAAAACCCAGAACAGAGAAGGCACTCGGTATGGAACATAAATACTAACACAGGGACCAACTGCGTTAAAGAGGAGCAGCGCAAGCACACTGAAGGGGGAGTGAGAGACGGATCACTGTGGGAAGCAGGGTCCTAGCTGGGCCCATGAGGCCCAAACACTCACGGGATTGTGAGTCCCTGATTCCCAGGACGTGGGCTGCCGGCTCAGAAAGAATGTGCACACAGGGGCTGAATAGGAGGCGAGGGCACCAGAGAAAGCAGCAGATTTCTCAGGGTTGAAGAAAGGTTACAGGTGAGGAAAGAGGAAGGAGTAAAAAGCGATGAAGATGCTATGTACTTCCTGCAAGCCGGGGCAGGGGCTGGGGGTTCGATCCCCAGGCTTGCCATGCCAGCCCCGACGGCAACTGAGACTCGCCATGGTGGCATGCTGTAATCCCAGCTCTTGGGAGGCTGTAAACAGGCAGATCACTACGAGTCAGATCTAGTAGTGAGACCCTGAATACCCTGTAGACCCTTTCCAAAAAAAAAAAAAAAAGATGCTATGAGCTTGATTCCTTGAAATAAATGTAATTAATACATTCCCTAAACATATACTAATCAAGAGAGCAAAACTAACAGGGAAGTGGAAGGCTAACATAATAAGCCCTGGGCAGTAGACTGAAATCAGAGTGACTTCATAGTATTTAATACTGACACAGATGTGTGGGTACAAGAATACAGATGTGTGGGCCTGCCTGCCAGACACATGGCAGATTGCCATCCTCTGCTCTGTGCATTGGAGAGGAGCCAGCGGCAAGTGTCGCCCTGCTAGCCAGGAGCCTACGGAGTCCACAGATCTTGGTTTCTACGGACCCATTCAGCCAGGCATGGTAGTGCACCTAGTAATCCCAGTGCTTGAGAGGCTGAGGCAGGAAGATCACTGTGAATATGAGGACAACCCGGGCTACATAAGCGAGTTCAAGGCCTAATGCACTACATAGTGAGACTCTGCCCAAAATAAAACCAAAAAACCCACAGACAAAAAGCAAAACAAAACAAGTAAACAAAAACAAACAAATGATCCATTATCCAATGAACAGAACTCAGACTAAGTGGAGAAATAAGTGATTCCAGGGCTGAGGAAGAACCACAGTTTATGGTGTCAGCAAGAAAGGGAGTGCTCCATAGTGGTATGAGCCTGTTTAAAGACTATGCAACCAATCTGAAGAAATTCCAAGAGATCAAATATGGGGCTTCATGAGTAGCAGAATAAATAACAACAAAATCGGGCATTGTTACTCATGGAAGAAAAGAAATAATCATGAGTTCATGACATAACTTTATATTGAGAATCTCAATAGTCGCTGTTGACTACTGGACCCTTGCAGAGTTGGAGGTGTGTGTGTACTGGGGATCAAACTCAGGACCTTGTGCTTGCCAGGCAGGCACTTATGCCACTACACTAAATCCCTGGTCCTGAGTTCATGATATAAATTAGTAATTGAATAGATAAATAGATGGGGTAGAGAAGGACAGCTCTTCCTACATGAAATTTTTAATTAAATGGGAAAAAGGAATTATATAAAACAGGGAATGAGAAAATTAGAAAATCACAATCAGACAAACACCACACTAATAATTATTGTGGACAGGAACCACTCTTGCCTGCAATAATTATATATAAAAACTAGTGGGTGAACATTCGTGGAGAAACAGGATTTACGTAGTCTTGAGCAATCATCTCCAGCTACTTATTAACCACAAAGGGAAGAATAATAACTTCACAATGGAGAAACCCAGCAGGCATCTCCCGAGCCATCCAAGCGAGGACCACACCACCAGCAGCAGCCAAACCACATGCACCACGTGGACCCTCTGGTGTCACCCCTGATGGCCTTGCCCAAAACCCAGAACTTAATTACAGTCGGGAGACAATACTGGACAAATCCCAAGTGAAGGTTTTCTGACAAAATAAGAGATCAGTCCTCAAAAACAACCAGACCACAAAAGGAAGAGGATTCAAAATTGACAGTGGGGAGGACTCTAAGGGGACACAGCCCTCATCCTGAATCAGATCCTATACAAAAGAAAAGGCTGTGCCCAAGTTTGGACTCTGCCTGGGCCACTTGGTGACTTAACAAGACTGGGCCTCAAATTAAAAATGAAAGGGCTGGGAATGTAGCTCACTGTAAAGGCCCTGCGTTCAATCTCCACTAGTACAAAATGAAACAAAAACAAAAAGCAGAGCCAGCAAGATAGCTGTACAGACTAAGGGCCTGCTTAGGCAAGCATAGGGACCAGGGTTTGATCCCCGGCACCACATGTCACTCCAGTCCTGCCCCCAAGCACCCTGAGCCAGTCACCAAGACTGACCATGGTGGTGTATACCTCTAATCTCAGCACTTGGGAGGCTGAAAACAGAGGGATCACTATGAATCCAAGCTGCATAGTGAGGCCCTGTACCAAATACATTAGGAAAAAAAAAAGACATTTGTGGAAATGTGAATGAGGTCTATAGTTTAATCAATAATATTTATAGTAGGGGCCGGGGAGATGGCTCAGTGGAATAAGCGCTTCCCTGGCAAGCACAAGGGCCTGAGTTCAATCCCCAGTTCTGGAAAAAAA